CAAATGTTATGATTTCATTCCTATTTTGGCTGAGTAAAACTCAGCCAAAATGTGTAAAATGTGTGTGTATCACATTTTCTTTGTCCATTTATCTATTGATGGGCACCTGGACTGGTTCCATAACTTGGGAATTGCCCTGCTATAAACATTAATGTGCCTATATCACTATGGAATGCTGATTTTAGTTCTTTTAGATAAATACCAAGGAATGGAATAGCTGGGTCATATAATAGTTCCATATCTAGGTTTTTGAGGAATCTCCATACTGCTTTCCAAAATGAAAAATACTTGCTCTCAAATTATATCAGAGCTATACTAACACACAGCATGGTATTGGTATCAAAAGAGATATGAAGACCAATGGACTAGAACAGATAGAAACAAACTCATATAGATACAGTCATCTGATACTCAATAAAGATGCCAAAAACATATGTTGGAGAAAAGTAGCCTTTTAAACAAACAGTGCTAGGAAATCTGGATATTCGTATGTAGAAGAATGAAATTAGATCCCTTTCACCCTGCACAAGAGTCAAATCAAAGTGAATCAAAGACCTATGAATTAGACAAGAAATTAGCAGACATTGCAACTGCTAGAAGAAAACATGGGGTCAACACCAATATATTGGCACAGGTACCTACTTCCTTAACAAGACACTTAAAGCTCAAGAAATAAAACCAAGAGTCAGTAAGTGGAATGATATAAAATTAAAAAATTTTTGTGTAGTGAAGGAAACAAGAACATTAAGAGAGAGCCACAGAATGGAGGAAATATTTGGTGCTACTCTTCTGACATAGAATTAACATCTAAAGTTTATAAAGTACTCAAAAAACTTCACACAAAAACCTACAAATAAAACAGTCAATAAATGGACTTAAAAGACATTTCTCAAAAGAAGAAATTAAAATGGCCAACAAACATATTAAAAAATGTACAAAATTTCTAGCAACCAGGGAAATGAACATATAAAATGCACTGAGATTTCATTTCACACCAGTAAAAGTGGCAGTCATTAAGAATACAAATAATGATAAATACTAACAAGGATGTGGGGAAGAGGTAAGGTCGTACATTGTGTGTGGGATTGCAAATTAGTACAAGCACTGTGGAAAGCAGTTTGGAGATTCCCCAGAAGACTAGGAACGGAACCACCATATGACACAGCTCTTCCACTCCTTGGTATTATCCAAAGCACTCTTTTAATATGGCTGCTGTTTTAACTGGATAAATTAGTGCTCTGGGCTGGGATGCTGGGGAATGGAGAAGGCTTATAATTTTTAGTATCTACATTTGATAGAATGCTCAAAATGACAAATGGTGGCAAATTTGTGGGTAATTTTTTGTAGAAATATGTATCAAAGGCACTGTTATGGTTAACAACTTTCAATAGCTTCTGAAATTTCAGCATTTAAAAAATTTTCTGTTAATTGGAAAATCCATCAATAGGTTTAATTTATTTATAAGAAGAAACCAGATGCTATAGGGTGGCATAAAGCCAGTATCTGAAAATATTTGACCTGACATATCTACTATTTCAATGCAAAATTCAATATTGGTCTGATTTTACCAGGTACTAAAAAGAGTGCTTTGGACATTATGGATTATAGGGCAGTCATTAAAGAAGTAATCATTTCAAATTTGTTAATCATGAAATTCAATATTAATAAAAATTGCAGATAGTTTTACGAAAAAACTTTTAATATTTTTTTAAAATAACCATGATATAAAAATACAGAGATAAGTAAATTAATACAGCATATAAACTTTTGATGTCAAGAATAATTTCTGCTAATCTAAATTTATATTTTAGACAATCCATATAAAGAAAATTTGCTTTAGGGGCTGGGGTTGTAATTCAGTGGTAAAGGATTGCCTAATACATGTGAGGCACTGGATTCGATCCTTAGGACCACATAAAAACAAATAAAATAAAGGTAATTGTGTCCACATCCAACTAAAAAGACTTAAAAATTGGCTTTAATATACTGTTATTTTTAGACATAAAACTTAAAAAATTAAAGCTTGACATTATAATCATTTTAAAGTATACAACTCGATGACATCAATTATATTCTCAATGTTGTGTGACCATCATCACTGTTTCCAAAACTCTTCAATCACTCCAAAAAGAAACTGTACTCATTAAGGAATAATTCCTCACTTCCTTCTTGCCCCATCCCCTGGTAACTTCTGTATATTTGTGTCTCTATGATCTTGCCTCTTCTAATTATTTAAGTGGAATCATAGAATATTCTCTTATGTTTGGCTTTTTTCTCTTAGTGTGTTTTCAGGGTTCATCCCTGTCATACCATACATCAGAACTACCTCTCATGATGGAAAAGGATTCCATTATATCTATAGATCATATTTTGTTTCTCCATACAAAATGGACACATGGATTGTTTCTACTTTTTGGCTATTGTGAGTAATGCTATAATGAGCATTGGCATACAATGAGTCTCTATTTCACTTCATTTGGGTGTAAACCTAAAAGTAATTGCTAGGCCATGTAACTCTGTGCTTAGTATTTTTCTTTTTATTTTCTTTTTTTCTTTTTTGAGCAACTGCTAAACTGCATTCCATAGTGGCTGTGCCATTTTACTTTTCCACTAGTGATACACAAGGATTTTAGTTTCCTCAAATCCTGGTCAACATTTATTTTCCATCATTTTAATTAAAAAAATTTATAGCCATCTTAGTAGGTATGAAGTGAGAGCTCATGATGGTTTTGAGAAATTTTACTTATAATAGCAGCTATTTGGATAGGATTGTTTTTATCAGTTTAGCATTATAATGAAATCTGATTGGTATCAACTTGACAGACATTTCTGGATATCCTAAATCAATTAAATGATGAACAGGGAGAGCAAAGAATAAAAGTGGACAGATACAAAAGCAATGGTTTCAGTGTAGCAATAAATGTGTCCTGAACTGGGATAGTGGCAAAGGAAAATTGAGTTTAAAATATTAATTTAAGATATTTAGTAGGTGAAATGAATAAACTCAATATGGTGAATAGAAAGAGGAAAGAGTTAAGCAAGATGCCTAAATATTTGGCTTCAGTAGCAGAGTGAATAGTGGAGCCATTACTAAGCTGTAAATCCCCAGAGGAGTCGGGCAAGCATAGAGGTGAAGGCAGATAAAGATGATGATAAGCTGGACATGTTGAATTTGAAATGTCCATGGGGCATCCAAATCAAGATGCTTATCCAGCAAGCAGTTGGAGCTCTGCGTCAGATGCTCAGGAGAGAAATTGGGCATAGAAAGTTTGGATTTATCTTTTTTTCCCCCTGTCTTCTTATTTCCATAACAAAAGGATAAGCTCCTTGAGAGCATTTCAAACATTTTCTTGTTTCTCTGATTTTTCAGGCATATAGCAAATTTTAATTGAGAATCTTTCACGTTTGAAGCATTAACTAGATTTAAGAGGAATTAGATAAAAGATAAATAAGGTATAGCCTTTGTTCTTGGAGAATTTATAATCAAGAAAGGGCAAAATAAAAGTTTTAAAATAAATAATATAGAAATACAAGTGGGCTGCCCTGAGGCAGAGAGAAAAGTATTATTTCATTCTAAGGGGATTTTGAATGAATGATATCTACACTTAAAAGGACTTCAGTACTTTGCTGATCGAATGATCTAATCGTAGCAGCTGCATAATTTGTGTATCATGAGAATCTGCTCAAAATAATGAATTTTAATTTTAAAAGCAGGAAATATTTGCCCACTACATGTTTATATAAACTCTCTTTTTACCATGGTTTCTGTGTTTACACACATGCTGTTTTCTATTTGCTATTTAATTTTGTTCTAAGAAAAGTTAACATCTTTAATTAATAGTATGAATTTTCCATTCACATTTATATTGTATAATGATAGTTCAAAATGCAAATATCAGAGCATCTGAAAGCTAGTATTACTATTACACAATTTGAAATTTGTGGCTAATTCCCTTCAATGAATGCCTAAAACTGTCCAGAAGTGACAAAACAAACCAACTCAGGTAAATTAGAAGAAGAAAGATATCCTCATTCCAAGCACCTGGGCACAATGACTTCAATATTCTAGACAAGTACAAACCCTAGACATAAGGACATTTGAGGGATAAGTCCAGACCATAACCAGCTATGCAGGGTAGGTTTCAATTTTCACCAGCAGCCAGATTGCTAAACTGTGTTTTGGCTGGGGGCAGCATCTGGGAAAAACCAGCCATGTGCATCCCTTTCCTGAGGGCCTATACCCCAACTTAGCACAAACAGGAGAACTCCAAGGATCTTTAAGCCTCCACAATGGGATAGGATTGGCACCTAAATCAGGAACAGATGAATTAGGGACTTTCATGCTGAAATGCAGACTCTAGTAAGCTGCTAACAAGATATGTCAGGTGAAGCCAGTCCAGGGTGTAACCAGCCTCCCTGTGCTCTGCCCTGACATGTCACCTGTTGCATTGTCTGACCTCAACCTATCTCTACTCCCTCCAAGTAATAAAGGACAGTTGTGGACACCGGGACAGAGGGGATCTTTGGTGGGACAGGACATCAAGAGGAGACTTAGCAGCCAGAAACCATTTTTGGGATGTGGCATGAGCCAGAATCCAAGTTCTCAGTACATTTTCCATTGCCCATCAGACTTAGCTTACAGAACACAAATTCAAAGTAAAATTATTAAGAATTTCAGGAGGGGGCCTGGGGATGTAGCTCAGTGGTAGAGCACTTGCCTAGCACATGTGAGGCACTGGCTTTAATCCTCAGCACCACATAAAAATAAAGGTATTGTGTTCATCTACAACTAAAAAAAAATGTATGTTTGTTTTCTTTTTTTAATTTCAGGAAGGTGACAGCAGAGCATTAATTCTCAGCATGGGGTCTGTGTGACTTCACTGATTGCATACCCTGAAGTTAGCCCTGGATGTAAGCAAAATATAAGGATGAAACAGGTTATTGAATTTATGGCTATGTTAGTTTTTCATTACTATGACCAAAACACCTGATAAGAACAATTTAGAGGAAGAAGTTTATTTTCACTCATAGTCTGAGAGATTCAGTCCATGGTCAGCCGAGTCCATTGCTCTGGGTCCAAGGTGAGGCAGCACATCATGGTGGAAGGGTGTGCTGATGGAGAGGTGCTCCACTTATGGTGTCCAGGAAGCAGGGAAAAAGGGGAAGGGGCTGCAAGGAAGATGAACAGTTTCAGGGCATGCCCCTAGTGACCCATTTTCTCCAGCTACACCCTACAAACCTACAACCACCCAGTTAGTCCATTTAAACTAGAATGGACCGACTAGGTTACAGTTCTCACCATCTGATCATTTTACCTCTAAATATTCCTGCATCAACACAGGAGTTTTTGGGTGACAGTGCATATCCAAACCATAATAGGCATGACTCTGTGCTTTCTATGGCCTTGTATTCATGCAACCATTTTCAAGGAACTGGAAATATGATCTTGTTAAAGGTGAGTATAAACATGCAAGACTCAAATGGAATGAAAATGAATGTCCTTTCCTCTATCAGATATTTCCAGGTCATATACTTGGAGGAAAATATCTGGCAGTCTCTGAAGTTGCTGCAGAATGCCCAAGAGAACTGGATCTATGTGTTGAAATGGATGTATGTTTATACCCAACTTTTCTTTTCCCTGATCACTTTTTATTTTAATGTGGAAAAATATAAACAAACCAGGAACACATCAAAATATGAATGCATCCAATCTTAATTTGGTCTTGATTGTTCTTTGGCCCAAAGGCAGGACAGAAGTGTAGAAAGCTTTGACATTGAAAAGAACCATCTTTCTAAAATAGCTACTTTTACCACGTGTAGTCCTTCCAATTCAGCATGTCACTTAATATTTTCAATCTGTAACATAGTCATTCTAGTTTTTTAGAAAGCTAGGAAGGTTAAGAACGTGTTCAAGTTTCAACATGGTAGAACCAGAATTTCTACCCAGGCCTGTCTCACTTTTGGGCTGCTTGTCACTCTTTGGAATTAGGCTCTTGTCCTCATTCAGCAGACTGTAGTCTCTCCCAAAGAGGACTCAACTGTGGATGAGACATCTGCCAGGGGTTCTAGTTAGTGCCTAAAGAGGTCAACTTTTTTTGTGTGTGTGTGATGCTAGGGATTGAACCCACAGCATGTGAGGCAAGCACTCTACCAACTGAGCTACATCCCCAGCCCAAGAGGTCAACTTTTTATTAACCAAGTCAGACTTAGAAACACATTCTAAGAGTAGCAAGTATGAGAGAGAGGGAGGAGGAATAGGAATAGCTCCCTTTCCCCACTAGGAAGTCAGGAAGTGGGGATGGAATGGAAGAATGGAAGCTCCCCTCCCACTCCAACTCCTGCCTTTCAATTCTAGAAGCCATAATTGGCTTACTGAGTGGCTGGGTGTGACATAAAAGAGAAAGTAGATAGAGGACTATTCTCACTTACCCCAGTTCTCTCTCTTCCCTGATTTCAAACACAGCTGTTGTGCACCCTGGAATGTGAGGGCAAGTTATTTTATTGCTGGGCTCAGTCTCTTGGAATTGTGAGGTAGATGAAACCCTGCCACTTGGGAGTGTCTAGCCTTCTCAGAATCCTTATGTTGTCATGAAAGAAGAGGGAGCATTCATTTGAGGAAATGCATTTCTCCTCTCTTTCTTCCTCCCAACTTCAGCATCACCCGTGGCCCTTCCCCCACCTTTCCTGGGCTGACCCAACTTCCAGGATAGGTCATACTCTTTTTGAGTCATTCTTTCTGTTCCAGAGGCTCACATGAGAAGTGACTCAGAAAAGCTGAATGGCCCTCTTTTATCTGAAGGATCTCATGGTGAGAGTCAGTGAGCAGCTTTGTCTTTCGGTTGGAGAGTGTCATTCTGGACAGCCCTGGGGGATTTCCCTCCTCTCAGGTTCCAGTTATGAATGGTTACCATGAGAGCGCGTGATTCACCGCTCTTTAATAGCCTGAAGTAGGGCGGGGGAGGGGGCCCTGTGACATCAGTTGCTGGTGTGTGCTTGGAACCAGACGCACACCCACGTTCACCCACACTCTGTCATTCAGCGCTGGAAGTGCTGAACAGAGCCGATCCAGGTCATGTAGCGTCATGGTGTGATGTTTTCCACTGATGCTTTTCAGAGTCACAGAAGCGCACAACCCAACCAGGAGGGTTTTAATAAGTCTATGTGGTACATACAGTCACCATCCTAAGCAGTGTCATTGGACTCAATGCCATTTTTCTTTCCCTCCTACCCACGCTTTCTCACTGACACACATTTTGCTAGAGAACCGAGAATTGGCCGACTGTGTATTTTAGCAAGTTCCTTAATGTGGCCAGAGTGTTCACGCGGCTCTGCTGATAAGTCTAGATGAGGCTGATGCACATGTGGCCACCTGGAGAGCCAATGGGAGTAGCTCAGTGACAGATCTGCTTAGCAAGGGCGAGGCCTGGGTTCAATCTCCAGCAGGAAAGAAGAAACAAACAAATAAATACTTAGCTGGGCAAAAGACTGACCTTTGGGCCTCTGACTGTTTTGGTGATTTAGCCAAAGACCTGACTGAGGCTGCTGCAGAATGCCCCAGAGAACTGGATCTATGTGTTGAAATGGATGTATGTTCATACCCAACTTTCTTTTCCCCGATCACTTTTTATTTTTCTTAAGGTGGAAAAATATAAACAAACTAGGAACACATCAAAATATGAATGCCTCAGCTCTTCACATATGATTTTACTTTCTGCCATGCTTAGGAATCACTTATATTAGTCCTTTGCTCTTCAGGAAATTATTGAAATTCTATGTCTGTTTTTTTACTTATAAATTAGAGGTAATAGTAATTCCCCTAAATGTTGGTTAGGAAGGATTGAAAGAGTTAATGCATGTAGAGCACTTAGATGAGGGTTAATAAAATTCTCTATAGATGTTAGTGACTAGTAATATCCTTACTAAGCCTCTAGTTCAAACTGCAAATATCCAAGTAATGTCACAACCTACTTGAGAGACAAGGCATAGCCTTTGGAAGGTTCTGTTCCTTGACCTGAAAATAATTCCACTGACCTTTGATATTATCCTCCTCCAAAAGCACCTGAGCATACCTTCTATGACCTGTCCTCTCCCTGAAGTTGCACTGAAACAGAAGGCTGCAGATCCTGGGACCCAAGTCACACTTGTCCTTATTTCCAGGCCTCTTTATAGTTCTACATAAAGATGCTCAATTGACTTGGCATGGAGGGTCATGCTTTTGATTTTTTTCAGAAAATGCCACTTTTGCTTGGCCATGCTTAGCGGATTCTCTGTAGAAGTTGATTTCAGGTATTAGTAGCTCTAGTATTACTATGTTTACTATAATGTAAGTGTCTCAGTGAGCACAGGAATCGTATTTTTTGAACTGTTGTGTTTCCTGGGTCTAGAACACTGCCAGGCACATGATTGGTGTTTATTAAATATTTGTTCAAGGTCTAAAGAAAAACAACAACAACAACAAAAAAAAAACATTGGAAGTGATGAAGGGGGTAAATGTGTTTAGGGAGCAAAAAGGAACTGATTGAAAGTCTATAGTTATAGAACTACCACAGTTTCAATTTAGGTTTTATTTGCTTTTTCTTAAATTGTGATTATATATGTGGATGTTATGTATACACATATATGTATATACACATATGTATATATACATATGTATGTGCGTGTATGTGTATGTGTGTGAGTGTATATATTTAACCACATTTAAGTGTACAGTTCAGTGATGTTAATACATTCACATTGTTATTCAATTATCACCACCATGCATTTTCAGAATTTTTTTCATCCCAAACTGAAACTATGTACTCAATAAACTCTAGCTCCCCATTTCTCCCTACTCTCAAGCTCTGGTAGCTACCATTCTATTTTCTGTTTCTATGAATTCGACTGCTCAAGTCAAATTTTTTAATTTTGATAAAGAAAATTTATTTTGTTGTTGTGATTGTCTTCTATGCTTTTTGTGTTATATCCAAGAAACCATTGCCAAATCAATGTAACAAAGTGTTTCCCTCATCTTTTTCTCTAGGAATATTATAGTTTTAGCCATTACATTCAGATGTTTGTTCTATTTGAGTTAATTTTTGTATTGTCATAAGACAAATGTTCAACTTTTTCTTTTACATGTGCATATCAGTTTTTCCTGGCGCCACTAACTGGAAAGACTTTCCACCCCACATTGAGTGGTCTTGGCACCTGTGTTAAATATTATTTGCTTACAGATGTGAAGGTTAATTTCTGGGCTCTATTGATATTCCGTGGTCTGTATGTCTTTTTAAAACTGGTTTCACAGTGTTTTCATATCTGCCGCTTTGGAGCAAGTTTTTAAATGAGGAAGTAGGAAGCTTCCAAAATTGTTCTTATATTTCAAAATCATTTTTGTTATTTAACATCCATGATATTCCATATATATCTTAAGATAGACTTTTCTAATTCTACAAATATCATTACTGAAATTTAGACAAAATTCCATTGAATCTGCAGATGCTTTTGAGTAATACTGACATCTTAACAATATTGTCTTTGAATCCATGAGCATGAGTTACCTTTCTGTATATTGGTATCACCTTTGCTTTTTTTCAGCAGTGTTCTATAATTTCTAGCATATGTCTTCTGCCTCCTTCGTTATATTTATTCCCAAGTGTTTCATTTTTTTTACGCTGTTATAAATAAAATTATTTTCAAAGTTCCTTTTTTTGCTTGTTTATTGTTGGTGTAAAAATGTAACTCATTTCTGTATTCTGAAGATTTACTGAACTCATTGTTGGGACTTTTTGTGTAATCTTCCAGGTTTTCAGAATAAAAGATCATGTCATCTTTTAACAGATTATCTTGTTTCTTTTCAATTTGTATGTCTTTTCTTTTTCCCTTGGCTAATTTCTCTGATTAGGATTTCCGTTGCTATGTTTAATAATAGAGATGAAAGCGGCATCCTTAATCTTGTTCCTGATCTTTTAAAAGAAGAACTTTCAGTCCTTCAACATTGAGTATGATTTCTTTTGTGGATTTTTCCTATACAGACTTTATTATGTTGGAGAAATTTCCTGTTCCTAGTTTGTGGGATGTTTTTATCATGAAGAGGTCTTGAATTTTGTCAAATACTTTTTATTCATCTATTCAGATGAGCCTATGTTTTCCCCTATTATTTATAAATGCACTTTCCACTGATTGCTTTTTTAGATTAAACTATATTATTTTGTCCATGATTAAATCCCATTTGATTGAAATGTATCTTTTTGATAAGCCATTGAATTTGGTGTACTAGAATTTTGCTAAGAATTTTTACATCGAGATATTCATAAAGAATTTGGGTCTTTGGCTTTCTCTTCCTGGAGTGTCTTTACTTCGGTGCCAGAATAAAGCTGGCATCATGGAGTGACTTAAGGAGTGTTCTTTCCTTTTCAGTTCATTTGGAAGGGTTCGAGGGAAATTTATGGACCTTCTTTATTCAGTAGAAGTCACCCTGAAGCCATCTCAAGGGTGTTCATTTCTTGGGAGGTTTGTGATTGCTGACTCAATTGCCTTAATAGTTACTAGATCCATTCAGATGTTCTACTTCTTCATGATTCAGTCTAGGTAGGTTGTATGTTTTTAGGAATTTGCATTATTTCATATAGGCTATATAATTTATTGGTATATAATTATTCACAGTGATTTCTTATAACCTTTAAAAAATACAGTATTTGTAAAAAATTTTTGTTTCTAATTAGTTATGCATGACAGTAGAATGCATTTTGACCTTTTGGTTGCTCTTGGTGTGCAATTACACCAGTTGTATAATTATTTATGCACACAAGGTAATAATGCCTGATTCATAAAGCAGTTTTAGAGTCATAGACAAATTGGAAAGTACAGAGATTCCCTATCTGTAATCTGCCTCCAAACCGGCATAGCCTTCACTGAACATTATTCATATCTCCCACCACTGTGGGTAGAACTCATTGACACATAATTATTGCCTGGAGTTCATAGTTGATGTTTAGATTCACTATGGGTGTTGTACATTCCTTGGGTTTGGACAAATGCATTATGACATGTACCTACTACTATAGTATCACACAAGAGTAGCTTCACTTCTCAAAGTCTTCTCTATTCTACATATTAATTCCTCCCTAAACTCTGGCAATCATTGGTTTACCCGTTTCTATTTTGTAAAAATGGTAGTAAAGGCCCTTTTACATTTAATTTTGTTTTAAGTGTTATCTTTTAAAACATTTTGGATAAAGATTTTATTGTCAATTTTGTTGATCTCTGTTCTAGTTTTCTAATTGGCTTTTTTCTTTTTTTTAAGATTGTGTCTTATGGGCTGGGGATGTGGCTCAAGCGGCAGCGCGCTCGCCTGGCATGCGTGCGCCCCAGGTTCGATCCTCAGCACCACATACAAACAAAGATGTTGTGTCTGCCGAAAACTAAGAAATAAATATTAAAATTCTCTCTTAAAAAAAGATTGTGTCGTCTTATGTTTCCCAGGTGAACTAAAAAATTCCTGCCTCAGCCTCCTGGGTAGCTGGGATTACAGGTGTATGTCAGCCTGCCTAGCTTCTTCTCTAATTTTCAATTTTTTTCCTTTTCCTAGCTTTTAGTTTAGTTTTTTCCTTCTTTTTATATTTCCTTAAAATATAAAGTTTGAAATCGTCCTTTTTAAAAAATGTAAGCCTTTATAGGTATGCATTTCCATCTTAAACCTACTTTTTCTGTGTCCTATAAGTTTGGGATATGTTGCTTTCATTTTCATTTTTCTCAAAACATTTTATAATTTGTGATTTTGTCTTTAAGCCATTGCTTTTTTAATAATATATTGCTTTTAGCAAATACCACATTATCACTCTCTTCTTATTTTCCTCTTACAACAAAACTTCTTAAAAATGTTGTTTCTTCATCTTTGAACACAAAATACTAATTCCAGTTAGTTGGATTATACACTGCT